GTCCGGTCCTTGCACACTCCTCCACGGTTCTGCCGTGTCCGGCGGTCCCGTCTGGCTCTCTGTCTGGCCTCCACCTCCCCTCGTTCTCCACGAACTTGGTGAGTGGAGCTGACCTTCAGGACGCGTGGGTTGACCAGTTCACTCCTGGAGGTCAGCGGGTGACCCACTGTTCGTGTGCTTGGATGGGCCGGCACCTGGCCACGTTCACCCGTTAGCCTGGGTCGAGCCTGTACACCCTGACTACCGTGTCTCCTCCCGTTGCTAAGTTTGGTCAGGTAGCCGCGTCGGGTCAGGTGTTTGCTGCAGCGTCCCGGTCTGGTCCTGAGTCTGACCCCTGCTCGTGTCGCCTCCTGTCTCACCAGACTCTTCTCTGGCACCACCGCCTTGGTCACCCTCCCTGCCTCGTCTTCGAGGCATGGCCTCCCGTGTCCTTGTCACTGGTCTTCCCCGATCTCTCCCTCCCCTTCCCCTCGGGCCTGCCCCTACCTGCGTTCCTTGCGTCGAGGGGCGGCAGCGCGCCGCTCCTCACTCCTCTGAGTTCCCTCCGACGGAGGCTCCCCTGCAGACTCTTCACATGGACGTGTGGGGCCCAGCCCGCGTCCGCGGACAGGGTCACGAGCGCTACATTCTGCTGGTCGTTGACGACTACTCGCGTTACACCACAGTCTTCCCCTTGCGCCGCAAGGGTGAGGTCACTGAGGTGCTGATCGACTGGATCCGCGCTGCCCGTCGTCAGCTCAGCGAGAGTTTCGGCTCGGACCTTCCTGTTCTGCGTCTGCACTCCGACAGAGGTGGAGAGTTTTCCTCCGACCTTCTGCGAGCCTTCTGTCGTGCGGAGGGCATCCGCCAGACGTTCACGCTTCCGGCCTCTCCACAGCAAAATGGGATTGTTGAGCGCCGCATTGGCATGGTCATGGATGTCGCTCGTACGTCCATGATCCATGCGGCTGCTCCCCATTTTCTATGGCCGTTTGCGGTTCAGTACGCGACGCATCAGCTCAACCTCCAGCCCCGGGTCTCCATGCCGGAGACCACACCTACTCTGCGGTGGACGGGGAAGGTTGGCGATGCGTCTGCGTTCCGTGTCTGGGGATCTCGAGCTTTCGTCTGCGGACAAGCTGTCCTCCCGTGCTGTTCCTTGCGTCTTCCTTGGCTTCCCCCCTGGCGCGCCTGGTTGGCAGTTTTACCACCCCACCTCGCGCCGTGTTCTGTCCTCTCAGGACGTCACGTTTGACGAGTCGGTTCCTTACTACCGTCTCTTCCCCTACCGCACTGCCCCCCTCCCCCCCCCGCCGCTCTTCCTCGCGCCAGGTCCTCCCCCGGTAGACCCCCTCCCCCCTCAGGGTCCTGCCCCCTCAGGTGTGTCCCAGGTAGACGCAGTCGAGCCTGTCGAGGTAGCTGTTGACTCTGGTGCTGCTAGGGGTGCTGAGCCTGCGGGTGCCGGGTCTGGGGGTGCTGAGCCTGAGCGTGCGGAGCCTGGGGGTGCTGAGTCTGGGGGTGCTGAGCCTGGGGGTGCTCAGTCTGGGGGTGCTGAGCCTAGGGTTGCTGAGTCTAGGGGTGCGGAGCCTGAGGGTGCTGAGCCTGCGCGTGTGGAGTCTGGAGGTGCTGAGCCTGGAGGACCTTCGGGTGCTTCGTCCCGGCGGGAGCCACTCTCTCCACAGCAGATGCGCGAGCGGTTTGCTCGGCGCTGGAGCCGTGCTGTTGGAGCTGGTGGTGCTGCGGGAGCTGGGAGTCCTGCTGCTGCTAGAGCTACTGGGGGGTTTGGAGCCACTGGTCTCAGAGGTGCTCGTACTGGAGGTACTGGAGCTGCTGGGCCTGGTGGTACTACTGGAGCTGGAGTTGCTGGCGGTGCTGCTGGAGCGGGTGCTGCTGGAGGTACTGGAGCTGGCGCCGCTGGAGCTACTGGGCCTTCTGGTGGTCCTTCTGGAGCTGGGGCTGCTGGAGGTGCTGGCGCTGGAGGTGCTGCTGGAGCTGGTGGTGCTGCTGGCGTTGGTGCTGACGCTGGGGGTGCTGGTTCTGGAGGCGCTGCACGGCCGCGGCCGTACTTTGTTCCGCTCCTTGAGAAGGTTCTTGGTCTCCCGCCTTCTACTGGTCCTGCTCCTTCCTTAGAGTGTCCGCCGCCTGTCCAGTCCCAGTCACAGTTGCAGCCCGCCTCCCCACTGCCTGCTCCTTCTCCTTACACTGGTCCGACCGGAGGTCTTGCTGAGCGTCGTGAGCCTGCGTCTCGTCCTGCGTCGCCTGTTCCTACTGCTCGCACTGGTCGTCGTGGTTCGCGTCAGTGTCCTCCTCCTGTCCCCGGCACGCACCAGATGGCTCTGCGTCCTTCCACTGCTCCACAGCGTGTCCCTCTGCCGTCTCCTCCTGCGTCCTCCCTTGCTGTTGGTCCGAACCCGGAGTCTGACTCCCTTCGTGCTGCTAGTCCTACTGTCACGCGTCTCCTAGCCACTGTTGTCACTGACCGTTTTTTTGTCTACTGCTGCGTCGGCTCTTGTTGCTGAGCTTGTCGACTTTGCTGCTCACTGTCATCTAGACTACGCCGCTAGTCTTGTTGCTGAGTCTGAGTCTGTCTGTCCTCCCTCCGTCGGGGGTGAGTGTGCTCTTAGCACGGACGTCCTTGAGGACAGGCAGGAGGAGTTCCAGTGTTTTGCTGCTGCTTTACCTCATCTCGTGTCCATGCTGCTTGCCCCTGAGGGAGACCCGGATGCACCAGACATCCCGACCCCGCGCTCTTACGCAGAGGCGATAGAGGGTCCCTACTCCTCTCAGTGGCAGACAGCCATGGACGCAGAGATGGCTTCAGGGTGAAGTGGCCGCCGGGTTCTCCGCCTGTCTTCAAGTCGCGTTACGTGGCTCGAGGCTTCAGTCAGCGGCAGGGAGTTGACTACTTTTAGACCTTCTCTCCCACCCCAAAGATGACCACTCTTCGGGTACTGCTGCACGTCGCTGCTCAGCGTGACTACGAGCTTCACTCTCTTGACTTTAGCACAGCCTTCCTGCAGGGCAGCCTGCACGAGGAGATCTGGCTGCGCCGCCCACCTGGCTTCACTGGGTCGTTTCCTCCTTGTACCCAGTGGAGCCTCCGGCGGCCAGTCTACGGTCTCCGCTAGGCGCCCCGCGAGTGGCACGACACACTGAGGACTACGCTTGCGGCTCTTGGGTTTGCTCCTTCCACTGCTGACCCGTCGCTGTTTCTCCGCACCGACACTACTCTGCTGCCGTTCTACATCCTCGTGTACGTCGACGACTTGGTCTTTGCTACTGCTGACACTGCTGGACTGGCCTACGTGAAGTCGGAGCTGCAGAAGAGGCACACGTGCACAGACCTGGGTGAGCTGCGCAACTATCTTATCTTGCAGATCACCCGGGACAGAGCACGCCGCACCATTACCTTGACTCAGTCACACATGGTGCAGCAGGTCCTTCAGCGCTTCAACTTCACGTACTCCTCGCCTCAGGCCACTCCTCTGTCTACTCGCCACTCGCTCTCAGCTCTGCCTTTGGATGAGTCCGTAGAGCCAAGTGGCCCGTACCCAGAGCTTGTTGGCTGCCTCATGTACCTGATGACCTGCACTCGACCTGACCTGGCATACCCTCTTAGCATCTTGGCACGCTATGTTGCTCCTGGGAGACACCGACCAGAGCACATGGATGCAGCTAAGAGGGTGTTGCGCTACCTGTGCAGTACGTCGGGCATGGGGCTCGTGCTTGGAGGATGGGCTCGAGTTGTCCTCACTGGTCACGTAGACGCTTCTTGGGTTGACGACTTGGCTACGCAGCGGTCGTCACAGGGTTACACCTTCAGCCTTGGTTCCGGCTCTGTGTCGTGGCGGTCTACCCGCTCGTCTTCTGTTCTCAGCTCCAGTTGTGAGGCTGAGATCTACGCTGGGGCCATGGCTGCACAGGAGCAAGCTGGCTCACCTATCTGCTGACCGACTTGGGAGAGGTGCCTCGTTCTCCTCCAGTTCTGTACGTCGACAACAAGGCCATGCTGGCCTTGTGTCAGGAGCACAGACTGGAGCACAGAACGAAGCACATTGCTCTGCGCTACTTCCTTGCTCGAGAGTTGCAGCAGCGTGGTCAGCTTCGTCTTGCTTACGTGTCGTCTTCTTTACCAAGGCACTTCAGCCTTGTGATCATCAGCGCTTTTGTACTATGCTAGGTCTTGTGCCTACTTGGCCTCACTTGCTTACCTCTTGACTTTGCTTGTACTGTGATCTATATATACCTGCACTTGCATGCTTACCCTTGCTAGGTTGAGTTCACTGTCTTGCTTGTTCACCTTGATTTATACTCCTGCATGTGAACTGGCCTTGTGGCCTTGTACTTGTGCTCAGACTGTGTGGTGACGTTGTGATCCACCCTGAGCTTGACCTTGTCTTGTTCTCTTGCTTGTCCTCCACTTTGCCTATGGGGGTGTGTCAGAACTATATTGTAGGCTGTAGTGGGGCACTCCTTATGGGGTACAGTATTGTTAGGTTTTGCCTATACAAACCTTGTATTGTCATGTTTCTAGTCATTTCCTGCTTGCTTTCTTCACAACGCCACCCCCACGCCACCCCCTACCAACCTGACACGCCTCGTCCCGTCATGTGCCGTTCCCATATAACCTCCAAATCGCCACGTTATCCCCAACCCCGCCGTTTTGCCACATCAACCCCAACCCGTCCCATTTTGCCCGCCACATACCGGGAATGGGTTTGTCTCCTGCAACACTAGCACTCGTGCCTTGTTCATGGGACTCATCAGCTGGGGTGTACCAACCATAGGCACCAATGCGGATCCCTCGGCATAACTAGCAGGTGCTCCACAAAGCAGGCCGAGCTGAGCAAACATTGCGTACATCTCAGCCCGGAGCGCTTGGAATTCCTCCCGTGTAACAAACTGCTCCCGCTTCGCACTTTCACCTAGGGCACATGGGATTGAGGCCAGGGTGCAAAGAATCCCCCCTCTGGCCAAGGGGATCAATGTCTTCTACCGCAGGCCCGTGTGCCCTCACTCTATCACGCTGGCGGGAAAAGGGCAGCTCAGGGAAGGGATTGGTAGAAGTGCTTGGCTGGTGCCCAGGGGTGAGACCGCCCTGCCCCGGACGGGAGGTGCGTGGAGTTGTCGATATGGGTACGAGGGTGAGGGGAGTGGGGAGTGCGTGACGTGGCCTTGTAGAGGGGATTCGGCATCCTCTCCTCCTTGTGTGCCGGGTGCTGCAACAGCGACTTTAGACAGGCCGCTGTAAGGCGTGAAGAACTGCGGAGCTTCTGTAGATACCAGGGTAACACTCGCTCTTCCGGCCCCCTTCGTTAGCTGCATCCGTTGCACGCTTACCGGTGGCCCAATGCCTGTAACACGAGGGGCTGAGAGTTATAGGGAGTGTGTTTACAAAGTTAGAGTCGATTACAATCAATACAGGGGCACACATGCATGCAAACGAGCAGTGGTTTGAGTCTACAACGGGTTTAGCGGGGTACTGTTTCGAAAATAGTGGCCTTACCCTGCTTTGAAGATTCGTTGATCGCTTTTTCCTGCAGGGGAAAACAAAGGATGTGTGGTGTTACTTGGGATGGTTTAGCACAGACTGGGACAGCCACGCCATGTGTATGGGCCTCGACGCTTTCCTGGCTGCTGGCCCTTCGGTTTAGCTGCATGCGCCTGCTTTTGGCCACCTTTCCGCGGGGTGCTTTTGCGGCCGCTGCGACATTTACCGGCAGCTTTTTTCTTGGCCGAACCCACTGGAAACCCTTTGGCGCGGCCACCCTTTCCTTCTCCATCCCCTTTTGCGCCTTGGCTCCCCTGCGTTTTACGACCCCCTTCAGTTTTGACCTTAACTTTACGCGCCTTCGATTTGCCCGCTGCTTCGCCACGCGGTGCGTCAACTGCCTCGCGTTTTCGGGAATGACGAGTCCGGCCCCCGACCTTCCCTGTACCACTCCCTCGTCTGCCCCGTGCTCCCCGGCCCTTCACTGCTGCCACATCCTCCTCCTCTTCCTCTTCCGCCCCTTCCTCCTCCTCCTCCTCCGCATCCTCCTCCTCCGCCTCCTCCTCCTCCGCCTCCTCCTCCTCCTCCTCCTCCTCCTCCTCCTCCCCCTCCTCCTCCTCCTCCTCCTCCTCCTCCCCCTCCTCCTCCTCCTCCTCCTCTTCGTCGTCGTCCCCCTCCTCGTCCTCCTCCTCCTCATCCTTGTCGTCCCCCTCCTTGTCCTCTTCCTCCTCCTCCTCCTCCTCCTCCTCCTCCTCCTCCTCCTCCTCCCCCTCATCCTCCTCCTCCTCCTCCTCCTCCTCCTCCTCCTCCTCCTCCCCCTCCTCCTCTTCGTCCTCCTCATCATCATCCTCATCTTTTTCCTCCTCCCCCACCTCCGCCGGATTTTTTCCGCGCTCCGGGTCGGCCCTTCTGGCGCAATGCAAGACCCGTCGACTTGCCACTTGCTTCCCTGGCGCCTCGCCTTGTCCCAACTTCCGCACCACCGACATCGTCAGCACCTGTCGTCTGCCGCCTCTTCGCCCGTATAGTGATGTCCTCGGCTAGGCGATGTCATCCTCTTCCTCCTCCTCGCTCTTCCTCTGCCTACGCCTCCCACGTCCGCCTGAAGGAGGAGAGCCATTGACGTCGGCGATGCCGTGTTGCTCCTCCATCGAATCGTGCTCCCCAGCGTTGTCCTTCTCGATCACGCCAGCAGAAATTTCGACCACGGTCGGCTCGAGCAGCGTCAGATGGTGCTGCCATGCTTCCGCCTCGGACTCCTTGATGGCGGCATGCTCGTCGCGGGAAGCGTTGCCGTGGTTTCCCCCTGTCGCCGAGCCATCTCTTCCGCCGAAGGGACTGCACGACTCACGCTCCCTTGCCCAGGATCTTCCTTAGCGCCGATGGTGCCGTCGTCAGTCGGCCCGAGCTCGCTTCCACCAGAGGCATCATCCTCAGCTTCTTTCACGGAAGCAACCCGCTTGCGTGGCGTTGGTCGCTTCCCCTTGTCTTCCGCCTTCTTCTTGGACTTCTCCTGTCTAAGCATGGCCTTTTTTCCCGCTACTAATTTCTGTTGACTGCCACGCGCAGTGGACACTTTAATAGCTTCAGATCCGCCACCACCATCCCGATTGGTATGAAGAGACTGCCTCCTTGTCGCGCGTCGTCCGGCATATTTATCCTCCATTTCTTTTTTACAAGTAGCACGTGTCATGCTTGTAGTACGAATGCTATTTTTAATGTGCCAAACGGCCGAGCAGCTATACTAAGCGTACCGCAAAGGAATGTAACTAAGGCGATCTCGACGGTCTAATCAATCATCTCGTGTCGAAAAGCTATGCTTCAACTCTAACAGAAATAGTAGTAGTTAAGCACAGAGCTAAGGCCCACTACTTAGTCGACTGGTGAAGCACGGGCGATCTGGAAACCCCTGTGACAACCAGCAAGCAGCGTCAATGATGTGGGCCAGAGGGTGACCGAAGCTGGTGGGTGGGGCACGAGGGTGGTTGGGGTGGCTTGCAAGACAAGAGAGATCACACTTGAGATCAGGCTAGATCGGACGGTGTACCCTTTGCCACCCGATCCTAAACCCACTCACCGCTCGATCGCAGCCGCTTCAACGGCGGATGTACCGCATGGCTAGTGCTTTTCTAGCAGAAGGAGTCATTCGAGATGCGTCATCCAATCAGTATTGCCAACGCATCAATCACTGCACACGCTGGAACGGTTTCTGGACCACTACCTAAACCTAAACCTTGTCAACTACAATGCTGACGCGAAATGAACAACGTTGCATATAGAACCAAAAAATGCTTCAAAACTACAACAAATACAATCCTCAATAAAAACGTTGCTTATGTGATGGTTTTTTTTTTTGTGGAATATGTAAACTATACACCGATGATACAAGTGCAAGCTAACGTATGTCAGTCGTAACTGAGCGTGAGAGGCCTAGTCAACTACTAGCCCCATAGGTAAGCCTACTAAGGCGGATGCAAAGCCCCTCGTGCTAGATTCCATAGCACGCCAAAGTTATGGGTCCACTTCCAACTTTTGCCCTCCAGTAGTCGGATGCGGTTAAGAATTCGCTGTTCCTGCTCCGCCAGCGCATACAGTCCGTTTGGCTGCTTCTGACCCCCCTTCTTGCCAGGTTTCTGTCCTGTAGCTCTGGTATACACCTTCACATGCAGGCAAAACGCCACCCCAATCTTCCTGAGGACACGTCTCGCTCGGAACCTCCGCCCACGGAAAACACATTCACACCTCTCCGCCCACCTTCCTCTGTGGGTTCAACAAGCGCAGTGCCCTCTTGACCGCTCCAACCACCGGCTGAATAGGAGCACATGTGAACAGGCAGTGCTCCAGAGTTTCCATTTCCCCACAGCGCGGGCAAACTGGGTTGCTGCTTAGAAAAGAGAGCCTCTCCCCCACCTGTAAGTTGAGGCTGTGTATCCTCAGCAGTACCTCCCGTGGTCTGCTGGGGGTCACCAAAGAGTCGCAGATTTTTATTACATTTTTCCTGTCAATGCTTTTACCCCACCTGCTCGCCTACTTCTCCCTTTTAGGGCGTGTCCCTGGGTGGTGGCAGGGCCGCTGTATATGGCAGCCTGCCACGAACACATAAAACGTCAGGTTCGTATCAGGAAACTGGCGCGCAAATACAGGTGCGTGATTGGGCAATGTCCCAAAATTGCCACCAAAATCGTGTCACGCCCGCCTCGTGAAAAATGTTGGTGGCATGCGGTTTTCCCGCATGCCACCAATAGTGCCTGCTACAGTGGCCCTGCCACCACCCAGGGACACGCCCTTAGTTGAGGGCCAGTTTGCCAGCCGACAGCCCCTCTTCATTTCTTTCAAAGACAGCAGCTGCCCATCCCCGAAGGCCCTTGTGCGGAGCAGATAGGATTTCGGAGCAGAGCAGACTGGGGACGAAAGCTCGGCAAAGAGGAGCAGCGTTTTTCACTCTTGCGGAACAGCCTCCCAGGCCCGCAGTGCTAACTTCGCCTCCGCTTTCCCCTTCAGCTCCTTTACGAGGGTTTCAGAGTCCATGACCCTCCAACCCCTCGCACCATCCGTTGCTAGTAAATCACGTAGACGGACCTCCCACAGCTTCGCCGCGGCTTTCTATCCTCCCACCGGTGTTCTGCCATTTAGCAAAATACGGCGATGAAAGACTATCCGCTCCTTCGCCACCTCTTCCTTTGTCAGTTCCCGGGAGATGCCTGTCAGTGGCAATTGCATGAAGTTGCTACATGCCAGCTTCCACCTCTCGCTCTTCCCACGCCATTGCTTCAACAGCTTCACGTGCGCCACAAACGAGTCGGTCCCTGGCGGCAGATCTGCGGCTTTAAGCATGATGTCTTTTTTCAGCGCGTTCGTCTCGGTGAGGAGCAGCCCTATCCGTCTGGTCGTGAGAGAGGTGGGCATTATTTCCGGGTCGTTCACACCAGCACCCCCCTCCTCCCTTGACAGATACAGCAACTCCCTGCTCCATAAGATGAAAGCCTTGTCTGTGGAGGCTCTGTTCCTGGACATGAAGTTATGCACCAGCTTAATGATTCTCCCCCAGATTCCCACATGTGGAGGGTATACTTGCTCCTGAAAAAAGACAATCGGTTGATAACAGCTGCTCTCGCCCCGGTAGTGAGATGCTGCGCTTCCCACAATATTAACTTCTCCTTAATCTGCGCGAATGACCTCTCCCACGTTGGCTCGCAGCTTCCAGCCGGTGTCACCCATACGCCTAGCAAGCGCTCCGCATCATCTGCCTTCGCCCACTTGAAACCATCCGACTTCCACGGCTGCTTGTTCAGGTTCTTTCCATCACTGATTTTCCCTTGTTGGTGGCCAGGCCCGAGTCCCCATCGAAATTTTCTAAGAGTTTTTCTGCCTCCGCAATCTGAGCATCCCCTTCCAGAAGCAGGGTGGTGTCGTCGACATACCCCAGATATGCCAAGCGTCGCCCTTACCCTGTAAGCCCTAGGTTCCGACGCGCCGCCTCTTGCACCAACGGCTCTACTGCCCATAAGAACAGGTACGGAGCGAGCGGGCACCTCTGCCTTACTCCGGACACCACCTCCACTACTTCACCCATCCATCCGTTGATTAACAAACTCGTCGTGGTGTTCTCGTGCAGGCCTTGTATCCAGCGAATGAAGCGGCAAGGGAAGCCCATTTTCTCCAGAACCCCGAACAAGAAGCCTCTCGAGACGGAGTCGAAGGCCTTCTTGAAGTCAACGAGCTAGATGTACCAGTCTTCGTCCTTATTCTTAGCGGCTTCAATAACATCAGCTACCAGACCAACTGCGTCCGAGAGTCGTCTGCCTGGTAAGAACCCGTATTGCTCCGTCGATATCACCTCATGCCGCACTTTTTAATCCTGTCAGCCACGACCCGCGCCAGCACCTTGTAGGCAAAACTGAGTAAGGTGATCGGCCTGTAGTTCTCAATCTGATCCCTTCTCCCCTTTTTGTGAAGCAGAATAGTAACGGCATCTTTCATGCTGGTGGGAAGCGACGCGGACTCCGAGAAGTCTGCTACCAGCTTCATGAAGTGCTTTCCCAGCACATCCCAATGCGCCTCAAACAACTCCTTCGGAAGCCCGTCTTTCCCGGGGGCTTTATTGTTCGCCATTGAGCGGAAAGCGCGCTTCACCTCATCCTCTGACCAATCCGCCTCCAGAGACACCACAGCAGCAGGGGACAGTGTTTTGCCGGCCTCCGGGGACCAATCCGATACTGTCTTTTGCTTGTCAGCTCCAAAGATGCCCTTGAAAAACAGCGAAGTTTCCCGTAAAATGTCTTGGTTACTGCTGACTACACCCCCCGCCACGCTTAACTCTATGATATGCGTGCCTTCCTTGCGTGCTTTGATCCTTGCCAACAGGTAGGGTGACGCCACTTCCTTTTTAACCTCCGCCTCTAGCCCGGCCATCTCATGAAGCCGTTCCTGCCGCACCAGTTGATAGCTTTTGAGTTGAAGTTCCCGCTCATCCAGCATTTTCTTAGTTCTTTCACAGCTCGAGTCCCGCATCCAGGCCAACTTCAAGGATGCTACCGTGCTTTGAAGGTGCTGTATCGTCGCCCATATACGCTTTCTTTCTTCCTTCGCATATGCTCTGAGTCCAGCGTTAAGACGAGAAACCAGCAGCTCGAAAGAGTCACCATGCTTCTTCGCCTAACTTTCCACCGCTTCAATAACTTTCTGTACCCCCGGCTTCCCAACCATGTGAGCAGGCAAGCGCCAGAGCCCTAGACCGGTCTGAACCTGTGTCTTCATCCAAAAAACCACCCTAACTGCGAAACTGTGGTCAGAGATGGGATCAGCCGGCATGATGTGTGAGGCAAGTTCTAAGTGCGAGAGCAGCGATTGCGAGATGAGCGCGCGGTCTATGCGAGGGCTTGATTGGTTTGCGCAGGAGTAAAAGGTATACTCCCTGTTGTATGGATGCAGAACCCGAAAGGCATCTGAGAGGCAAAAATTGCAGCAGCATTGATAGAGCAGATCATTC